TCGTCTGTCAGGTCAGTTTATCAAACATTAGCCTTTTCTGAAATCTGCTGAGAAATCAGGGAGTTTGTCTCTGTGTGGCCTTGTGATGGACTGGTGACCTGCTTCTTGTCCACAGACAGCTGGAGATAGGCACCAGCACCTCCTGTTACCCCAATTATAAGCGTGAGGGTAAATTGATGGAATGGATAGATCTTTTTTCTTTGCCTAAAATTGTTGACAGTGAGTGTTGAGGCTGATGAATTCCCTTGGATTCTTACCCATCTAAAACAATCCCAGGAAGAGAGGCTTATTCCTTTATTTTCAAGCAGTGGGGAAAACCACTTCATTGACGTAACCAGAGACAATATCTCTTTTGGGGAATCTATGATCTGATTCTTTCTATAGTAGAGTACATATATCAGATACACTGAAGACTGTACTTTACTTTGGATACAAGGTTTCTACGTTTTTCGCAGTACATGTGTCCTCAATACAGTTTACGGCTAAAGTAATGCTGAAGAAATTCAATTAAAAGTTGTTCTTTAGTTTTCTCTGCTCCGCTCTTTTCTTTCTCCTTTCTTTTTGGCATATTTTGTAACTGTGCCTACTCTGTTTTTTCTTCTTCTTTTTTTGTTATGGGAGGGGAGTATTTATATCTCCCCTTAATATACACAAGATCATATTGACCTACAGTCGGAAGTTGTGCCGAACCACCTGCAGGAGTTGCTAAGCACCAGCTGAAGAATGTCTGCGTTTTTATAGGGTAGGACAAAAATACTCTGACCATCAGTTCGGTTGGACAGACCAGCCGTTTGCTTCCGAACCTCCCAATGGCCTGTTGCACTGAAATGTGTAGGAGGGACTCTGACCCTTTACAACAGACTTATTGAAGATATGTAGCATAATGCTGCAAACAATAAAAGATCTAAACATTTTCAAGAAGTACAGTCTGCTTTGTTACATCTTATAGACAACGTTAAAGTTCCATGTCCAAGCCAGTTTGTTGAAGAGGTAAACACTAAGGTATTTATACTCATAAAACTTCTCCACCTCTTCACTCACAATGCAAATAGTGTTATTTGACTTCTGTTTCTATTGAATTGTTAATCATATGCTTTGTATGTCATATAGATTGGTGATTTGTTTTCATACCATATTACATTGTAATTCAATAACTAACTATAATTAGCCTCTTGTCCATCTATGATACAGCCGAGTAGCTCAGAGGTAAAAACACCTTTTCATACACTAGAGGTCTGAGGAGTGAAAAGGAATGGTGAGAGTTTATTCCCCTGTGCACCTACTGTGATGTCGACTTCCTGGTTAGGTCTAACCAGCTGTTGTGTGAGTTGGGTAATCATTGATTACAATTCTTAAGGCTGTGTATTTTAGACAAAGGCGGAGGAGAGCAATTCAAAGAACTTGATCCTCTAACTACTGTCAGTTAACACATACTTGTTCAATTTTGGGGGGATCTTTAACATAAAAGCTATAGCATAGAGTTCATAGCATAAACTCTAAATTCTTTTCTTATTTTTGATTTTTCTCTTTTTTTAACTGGGAGGCTGAATATATCTGTATTTATATAATATTTTTTGTTCTCTCTGTAAATCACCTTCTGACCCTTCTTATTCTGAGAAGGACACTATTTACAGTAGCTGAACTGTCCCTCCTTTGCAGGCTCTTAGTAACCTTTCAGTGTGCTTTCACATTTAGGATTTTCGGCATTATTATATAAAAACAAAAATCTTCCTCACCCATCACGGGCAGTCTTCTCCCCTTTTTTTCTATCAGAGGCCTGGGAGCTTGAGGGTTCTGTGTAGTACCTTTGCTGTTACTAGAACTGCACTCTTCTGGACCGAGGGTCACTGCCCTGAATGCCCCAATGACCACGGGTACCACTGATGTCTTGACCTTTCAGGTTTTCTCCTGCTCTGAACATGTACATGAGAAATACCAGGGGTTCTTCGCTGAGGCCCTGGTATTTCTCATGTTCCCTTTTCCTGATGTTGCAGTCACTTGGTATTGCTATGTCAACCACAACGGCTTTCCTCTGATTTTTGTCCACCACCATAATGACTTTGTACCATTCGGTCCGTCTGTATCTGGAAGTCCCACAGGATCTTGGCTTGGTCATTCTCTACTGTCTTTGGAGGTGTTTCCCATTTTGACCTTAGGGTTTCCAGCCCCTACTCTGCACAGATGTTCCTGTGTACTATTCCAGCCACTTGGTTATGACACTCCATGTTAGCTTTCCCTGCCAGCATCTTACACCCTCCAGATATGTGCTGGATTATCTCAGGGGCTTCTTTGCACAGTCTGCATCTGGGGGGGACTTTTAGAAACAGATAGGTTAAAGTTTTGGATGAAGACATTTGGTTCAAGACAGAGATGAAGAGGCAGAGAGTTCTATGATCAGGACAGAAGATTAAGAATTTGAGTGTGTGAATTTGTGTGACAGGAAAGCTGTCAGTAGAAGTTGGATGGGATGTGTTTTCCTGGAGAAGGGAGAAGAGGATCTTGAACTTCGTCATAAGCTGAATCTGTTAAAGAATGTGTTAAGTCTAGACCGCCATCTTCCAAGGGTTCTTACCACCTCCTAATCGATCTCCTTCAAGTTAAGACCTTCAAATCACTTCTCTGTCATACAATTTCGACCACAGTGGTAAGTCTGTCAGAAACGATCATTCCCAGGAAAAACTTGGTCTCCAAATGAGAGTTAGTCATAAAATCTGCATGCTAATATGGACAGAAAGAACAAGGCTTAAAGAATAAGAGACAGTAAAAAACAACCAAATACAATCAGAAATATAGTTAATATCAACCACTAAGTAAATATTAACTGGGTTTATATTCCCTGTCAGGAAAATCCTCTTTAATCAATGATTTAATTTCTGATCAAAATCTGGATGTTATTGTTTAACAGAAACATGGTTACATGAATTAAATGAGACCTATTCTCATAGACTCAGCGCCTCTGAGTGTTATATGTTATAAGAGTGCAGATAGCAAAGGAAAGTTTGGGAGTGGACACTTTGTTTAAAGTTTCACTGAAGTGTGAAAAAAGTATTTCTAGGCAAATTCAACTCTTTTGAATATTTGGCTCTCCGGGTAAAGAGCCCAGTTCAAACCACGTTCTTGAGTATTTGCAGGCCTCCTCAGTTAAAAAAAATACATTTTATCTGGGTAATAGGTGTTGAATAAGACTTAACTATTTGGGTAGACTTCAACATTGATTTTGACAATCCTAAAGATAGAAGTAGAACAAAAACTATGTGATTATCTTAGAAACTTGCGCTCTTTGAGTCTTGAAATATGGGAAAGATGGACAAATGCCTGCAGTCAATGTCATGAATAGTTGAACACAGCTATAATCAAAGGGAACTACTGATTGCTTGGTACAAAGGCACAAGCAGATCTTTCCCTTTTGTCATAAATACATTGTTTGCTTATGGTTGCTTGGGAAAGAAACATGATTTACTGAATTAGATATACAATGCATGTGGAAATGCACTGCATCCCAAATAGTGTGCTGATCTGTGCTACAAATATTCATACACAGCTTGATTATATTTTCACCTTCGCATTTATGTACTATATTTACTCACCTTACAACTTACCAACATGACACTGTAACCCTTAAGGCTGATTTATACTTCGAAACTAGGTCGTCTGCGTGTGTGTCGCAGTGAATGCAGGGACGTCCCCGCCCCCTCCGCAGACACTCTGCTGCCCCTCTCCCAAATTGTAGGTGACCGCAGACAGTGCCGCAGACAGGAGGTCTCTGATTGGTCAAATCTACATCCGCTCTACTCATGCGTATTTCCTGTTTGTTACCTTGATGTTTTGTTTGTATGACCGCCATTGCGGAAAAACGTGAAGTTTGACGAGTTAGAAGAGCGAGGTGCGTGACAACGCTGGGACACTTTTTCCATCTGGATCCTCGCTCTTTTTTTGCCCTCGTGTCCCTCCGTTGTCGCACAAACTTTCCCCCACTTCCTTACTGCTTCGGTCGTATCTAGACCCACAGCTAATTTGTGATTGTCCCTCTTGCATTGTGGCATGGAATAACATAGCGCAGACCATGTTTCAAATTTGAGCATAAATCAAAAATGTCTGCGACAAGCTCACTGCTACACACAGCTGCGGCTGCATAACCTGCCCTTTATTGTTAATTGATAGAGATGACAATTTGCCTAGTGTATTTGCATCAGGTAAAATGCCTCAATAAAGGTGTCGGGTAATCTTGTGGTTCACTATGCCTAGAGTAAAACTGTCCTGGGTGTGTGGGAGAGTTGTTTACATAGGCTTGCTTTTCCATATTGGCAGAGTAATCCAACAGGTGGCTTCACATCAATTGCTTTCAGAGGTCTGATTATTTAGAAAAGAAATCATAGGATGAAATTTTAGTCATTTTTTGCTAAGGTATGTGCAATAGTCATCAATGATCTTTGTGTGGTCACTTTTTCCTTTATTTGATATTAAATCACGACAGCTTTAAAAATTGGGGGAATACAAATAAAAATGATAGATGGGAAACAAACTCTAAACATAAAAATTGAAAGTTTCTAACGAATGTTGAGCAAAAGAAAAACATTTTCAAAAAATTCCATTATGCATTTGCGGAATGTATGCACTATTAAAAATGTTGCTCCGAGAATGACATATTTTAATGTTGCATGGATCCTTTTTGGCACTTTGATTTAAAGAAAAATGTATTGTGTAGTTATTTTTTGCTGCTGTATAATTCATGCTTATAAGATGAAAGCTGCCAGCTTGCAAATTTGATTCCTGGCCACAACTTTCTTCTTTAAATATGGCATACTTTTTTTAAATGCATACTGAAATAAAAAAGAAAAATGGCATTATCCACATTTAATCAAATCAATACAATTCCTTGTCCACACTTGATTTCTGTTCCTTTCTTAGCTATATGAACTGTGTAGTGTTGCAAATCATTCTGTCCTTCAACATCTCGGCAATGACAACTGGGTTTCTGTGTGCTTGTTTGGGAATTACAGGTCTCTCCCTAGTTTGCTCCAGGCTTCAGCTTGGAGAACCCAGCCGCCAAGATTGATCCCAGCAGCTGGAGCGGCAGCGAGAGCCCTGCCGAGGACATGGAGCGGATGAGCGATTCAGCGGACAAGCCTGTGGACAACGATGCCGAAGGGGTCTGGAGTCCTGACATAGAGCAGAGCTTCCAGGAGGCCTTGGCCATATATCCCCCATGTGGACGCAGGAAGATCATCCTGTCAGATGAAGGAAAGATGTATGGTAAGTACAGATCTGTCTGACTTTAGTACTAAGCCCCAGTGTATCTGCTTTTCTCTAATTTATGTAAAGTGTGCTTTATTTCTTTGATAATTTTCCTTTTTTCTAATGTGGTTAAAAATGTCAAAATTACAATCTTCAACTAAAGCTAGAGGCAGAAGCATTATAAGCTTCACATTAAGAGTATATTGTCATGATGGCTCCATCAGATGGACATAAAACCCACTGTAAAAAAGATGTTTCATTTGTGGGAAGGAGTAATTAAAAAAAGTTTGCTGGAGTGCAAGTTTATGAGTAAAGCAACACGAACTATTAGCCAGAAGCAGATGGTACCGCTGCTGCCACCAGCTGTACCCCTTCTCTTTCCTGTCTCCACTCACTCTCCCCTCCTCGGTCCTGGCTCGGTGATGTCATGGAAAGCACGAATATTTTCTTTCTGTGGTGTTGGACGGACTCTCAGCCTGTCAGTTTGAAGTGAAAGCAGAAAATCCCACTGAGCATTAGCTTGCAGCTGTCATGTGACCCCCCTGTCCAAACATAATGCTAATTTCACAAGTTGTATTGAGACCTCTCATTGGTCACTACAAACATCTAAGCTCAGACAACACCTCCCTCCCCACGGTCTTTTTCTCTAGCTCTCCAACTCAAACAGATTGTGGATACCCAAGAAGTCTACTCGGGATTAAAGATTAAAGATTACAAAGAAACATTGCTAACAGGAGGACTTTTTCTGATCAATATAAGGGATGCCCTCTGATCTAACCAAAATAATATTATTTACACACTCTTTCTTATATAACTGTGAGGGAAATAACCAATTTGCTTGGTAAACATCGTTAGCTCTTGCCAGATGTGTCTGCTTTTCTTAAAAAAAAAAAAAAAAGCAGTTTTAAAACCATTGTTAACAATCTGAGAGAGATTTTCTATATTTGTGGTGCATTGTAAGGAAACATCCCTTTTATTTTTCAGAGGTTTGTGCTATTAGATATGCTCTGGATCTAGTTATAGGTATCTTGCATTGTCCTCAGGCTGTGTGTCCCTTTCTTATAACGTGAGAGCTGTAAGATACCAGTACATTTTTTTTACATATTGATGTGTAAAGAGGCAGAGGAAAAAAATAAAATGTCAAAAAACCTGAATTTAAAGTGAATTCTAATATTTTCTAACATGTATTTTCTGTGATTATGCTTTTGGGCTCTGTCACTATAAGTCCCATTTTGGTGGTAATATGTGGAAGACAGCTGGGTGCACTGTCATTCAGTCATTCAGCTTTGTAACGGTTGCTGTGTTTTAGCAGCAGCTTTATAATATGAACAATACAAATTCCCAACATCCGTCAAGTCACCATTTGTCTATTACTACAACAACAAGCTGTGTTTTATGGAAGGAACATCTTTAAAAAAATACAAAATTGCTGACAATTTATCATTTAGCCCTTTCGACAGGGAAGTGGACGAAGCCAATCAAACATGACAGCGTTGCTGATGATAACTCTGAATCTGAGTGCTCGGTTAGATTACATTTTTAAAAATGACAGTGAAATTAGAGTTGTTATGATTTTGGACACTTTGTTCCATGTTCTTTTTCTCTTCTAAAATAACTGTTAGTGTCTGTTTTTGACTTTTCTTTTTTTTTTTTTTTCGCTTGACTCGGCTGATGACGAGTAACACTTTTATTATTATTAAAGGGGGGCTTATTTCAAGTTAATTTCAACTAAAATTAAGTTTACATTGTTCTGTATTCATTTTTTCATAAAGAATCTGTCTGGATAAAAAAAAAATCAATCTAAAAGAAGTATTTTATATAATGTATTTCTATGCTCAAGGTTATACGTTTTCTTGTTTTGTTTGAGCTAAATGGTTAATCAGTTCCACAGCATTAAAGATGGGATGTTTAATATTTTTCCGGCTGATGCAGTTAAAAGAAAAGTGAAAAATTTTAAAATAGCGGTGGTTGTAGAGTGTCAATATGATAATTAATATGTGCGAAATGTCTATATTCCAATAAAGCAACTTACAGCTAAGCCCAAAATTATTAATGATCTTTGGAAGGTTTGGTGTGTTGTGATCATATATTGATATCAGAAATCAGCCAAATATCAGCCAAAAAAATAATATATCAGGATATACTGTATAACCCTGCGTCCAAAATCTCTCTTATAACCAAGCTGATAGAAACACTCTCCTTGTGTTTAAAGTTAATGTAACCCATTGGGTAATAAAACATTATTCATTTCATCTTATAACTATTGTTCTTTGTTAAACTAATATCAATTCATAATAAAACTAGCATATCTTTATTTTGTTTCAGGAATGACAATTTCCACATTTTGGAAATATATCTATTTGCCTAAAAACGCAGACTAACGATTAGAAATGTTTGAATCTGTTTGATTTGGATAAAAGTATTAAAAAAGATCAAAGATACCAGTGAATTTAATTTTGTCAGAGTGTATGTCATAAACATGATAATTTGTTATATTTCGACAACGCATTGGAAGATGCTTTGTTCTATTTTTCTAATCTTGATGCAAGCTGTGGATGTAGCCCTTAAAACACACCAAGTTCCAAAGAAAACCTCTCCTGGCATCTGAAGTTAATGTGGCAACAAGAAGACAGGTATTTGTAGTTTAGAGACTCTGGGGATGGCATAGTGTTCCATACACAGAGCTCATCACAAGAGCTGCCCTGAGTGCCCTTAAGCCCTTTGTTATCCTGGGGTAGAGTGCAGTTAATTAGCAACAGTCTCTATAGCAACCGTGCTGCAGTACAAAACAATTTCTAATTTCTGCTTCTTAGCCTATTGTGGTGTTTACCTGAAGGGCTTTGAATGTGCCGAGACCACTGTTGGCTGGCACTGCGCCCTTTGTCCGGGGCTAATTGTAGCAGCACTGGTAGACATAGCATCTGCATAGACTGCTTTAGTAGCCTCACAGTTTACTTAGGAGAATAGCTTAAAAAGGTAATGCAAAGTGGAGGGCAACACCACCAAGCCAAAGGCCTAAGAAAGATGCGGCACTTGCATAATTTACCTGCTGTGCACGGCTGCATTCATTTATCCTAGAAATAGAGTTGATAAGTGACACAACACGTTTCACTCAAATTGTATGTTTATTCATTGGATTATGTATTTGCTCTACCCAGCAAACTAAATATCATTGTCAAATTTCTATCAGTTACTGTTGAGGAGAAACAAACTGAATTTTATTCCATCTATAGATAAATAATTATAGATATTCTTTGGCAAACTCATCATCCTGTTATTTGTATTTATACCATTTAGGATTGCTTTACTTATATGGTGAAAGTTAATTGTCACGTTATTTCATCCAACATTTTTTTAATACAAAGGTTGCAGGGACAGTAATCTAAAATTTCCTTCCAGGCCTTATTTGCACTTATTATAAAAAAAGACCAAAATCAACGTGTTTAATAGCTAAACATTTGATCGTTATGCCTCCATCCATGCATGTTTTGATGTAAAGCTTTTCCTATTATCATTCAGCTGTTTGCTCTGCCATCTCATCAGAGGTCCAGCTCAGACCCCTCCTGTGGGAACTAAGTGGCACTTGGTTTGCAGAGATGCCAAGGATGAGTTAGATATAATGAGCAGACCTGGCTTGCCCCTGATGGCCCAGTGCTGTGCTCCTCTGGGGCTCGTCTCATCGGGCCAAGCATGCTCCGAAACGGAGCGAGTGGACCTGATCTCCCCTGCTGGGCAGATAATGAGGAATTCTGGGATCAGCTCAGGCTCCCCGAGTCACCTGCATTCACTCAGAATAGAGTGTGAGGAACTTCATTGCAGGGAAGGCATCACACACCTCTAGAATAATCCCTAATTTTCTTGCCGGCTATTGTCAATAAAGGACCACTGTGTTTTCACACACCATTGTGGTGAAAAAGTCCAATTATTTTATGTCTTTCATAAAAGAAGTAACTTTTGAAAGTGTAAATGGTATTAATACTTCTATAAGTAGGAAAGGAAGAAGGACATTTTAATTTCATATTAAGAATTTAGAAAGTTCTTAGAAAAGGTTGTCTCAAGCAACTTAATCAGCCATCTTGTTACAGTACGATCATGGACAAGTAATTTCATGTCAGGCCCAACCTAACCTAATTAATGTCATCACAGAGAGATGGATGTTACAATGCATTTTTAGTAATATTTAACACCAAGCATTGCTGGGCCATATTTCTACCTGTGCATTCTCTAAAAAATTACTGAGTTCAAAAGCAGTGCTGTCTGCCAAGGCAGGGTTAGGATGTTCCATTGATCCTTTAGAATCAGTTAGACCTGTTCTCTTTTGTTCTCTCTTTCTTAAAGGTTGATGTTTCTGCACTCGATGGTTTGCAGCACAAGAGAAGAATGTAAACAGATTTCCACTACTCTTTACTAATTGCCCCTTTTAGGAAATTATTATTTTGCAGCAAGTTTGTAAGAGCTAATTTGAGCTTAAGTCAGTTTCACTGTGTTTACTACTCTTTGGCTTAACGTCCATTTGAATTCTGCAGATATAACTAGTTTAGGGGAAAGGATGCAGAACAACAGTGGCGTCTCTTTGTTTGCTGTTACATTCTGCTTAATCTTCCTTGCAGATGTGCACATAAATAGAAACTACAGTGCCTCCAATCTTTATGACTCTGGGGTTTCAATGTAATTTTTATTTGATCGTATTTTTTTTTTCTTGATCTGAAAAAACCAATAATTTTGAGCGCATTGAAGATATTCTTCCTCCCTCTGTAGATGTGTTTGCAATGAATGGTTTGCAGGCTGTGGCTCCATGTCTGTATGAATCAGGAGTACTCGGGGACACTCCCTGCTCACTGAGGTCTGTGTGAGGCCCTCAGAGCCAGGCTTCTGGTTTCAGATTGCATGTTCCCAATTGGCTGCTTTTGTTTGACAAAAACACATTTAGTCTCCAGTTTCTTAAAGATGCAGTGTCACATTTGATGTTCTATTTACAGAAGCTAAGCAGCCTTTTGTTGATTACGACATATTCCATA